TGTTGAATTTTCGTCGATGTTAAGCCTTAAAAAAAAGTTTTTTAAATAATAATCGTGTTTACTGTATTGTTAAAAATTATTTTTTTATATTGCACAAACAAAATAAATATATTGAATAATATANTTTTTTAAATAATAATCGTGTTTACTGTATTGTTAAAAATTATTTTTTTATATTGCACAAACAAAATAAATAAATTGAATAATATAGAAACAAAAAAAAATTATATTTTAAAAGTTCGTTTTAATATAAAAATTGTGATGCATAGCAACATCTAGTATCAAAAACATTCCGATATAAACACAAAAATATTTGGGATCGCCCACACAGGTCAATGAGGTCAACACGAAAATATTCGGGAACAATGTAGGACAGGTTAATGCACATAATAATCAAAGGATTTGAAATCAGTACACTTGCCAGAACCTTGTTTAATCTGGGTATTTATAGTCAGAATATTCAATTTATTGGACACTGTAAATATCTCAATTTAGACATATTTTCAAGAAATATAAAATTTGTGGTGTACTTCAATATAATTTTGTAGATAGAAATTTTGATTTAAGAGGAAAGAAAAAGTTTGTATACATCTTTTTACATAGTCAGACATGAAAAGTAACTTTCATATAAAAAGACTGAGGTTAAGATAGCCAAGGACATCAGCCAATTTTGGATGAAAATTGATAACCTATTATAGAACCCATCAACCAAAAGTAAGCTTGCTAGCATTTGCAGAAGAGGTCTAATAAAAGATGTGGAAGCAAAGTGGGATGAAGCCTCAGTCAATCCCTAAAGAACACAATTAGACCATTTGAAATGACAATAAACAACTGGTTATTAAAAATGCAAAAAGAACCTGCACTAGATTTATTAATGTGGATGTTTTCTACATAATTACAAAAATAAATAATGGTTTATTTAAATTCTTTACATATACTACAGCTGAGGTCAGTGGGCCAAAACTATAGCTCTAGCTCCTGGAACAAATCCAATCCATGTACGTATTTGATAAATGACAGAAATGTCTACTGTTTGTATATATGGAATATACAAAATATTCATAGCCTGCCTACATAAGACTTGTGCATAATTTTTCCCACCCATTGAAGAGTTTGGGCACACTTGCTTAAATCATTAAAATATGAGTATAATATTTAAATTCTATAAATTTCTGCTAAACTGTTTAGTGTTTCATTGGATACTTAAAAAATAGTAACCTTGCTATGTCATATGACTAGCTTGTTTTCATGTTTAAGCACAGTGTCAATTTCTATAGTTTATTGTAACTAATGTACAGTACAGGTAGCCCTCAGTTTACACCGCAGTTCCGTTCCTACAAAAGCCGGCGCAAATCGAATCGGCGTAAAACGAACCCATATTTACACTGAAGTATAGGGTTAGGTTCCACATAAGTGAAAAATACGCAAATAATTTTGTTTATTAATACAATATAATACAAAATAAAATACATTTTAAAAATTAAATTTATTTGTATCATAAAATAAAGTTGAATGTTTTTATTAAAAATTTTAGTTTCCGATCTCTTACATTTTTTGGAAAAAATATCCATCTTTAATTGTTTACATTTTTGTTTTCTTTCATTGAGAATTTCGTAATATGGTTGAATGGATGCGACAATGCTCCTTTTTACATTCACACTTCGCTCCCAATCATTGTCTAACTCACAAAGTTCAACCGTCAAACTTTCCATAGTTGAAATGATACGTTAACCCGATGTAGAGCTACAGACGAGTGGAGACACTGATTGGTCGACCACCGGTCGCCATAGCGCATATGTAAGGTCAGTTTGAGCAGGAAAATTAAGGAGAGATAGATATCATCTGGCCAACGAGAAGTAGATTTATCTCACTAACAATAGTTTGTGATCGCCAGAAGTGCTACTGCGTCGTAACGTGTTTTCCTGAACGAACTGATACGGGATAAATTCAATGGCGCTATTTATTGGACTATTAAGTTTGATAACTTGACGCGTGGGTACCTAAACGTTTCATATTTTAATATTAATTTAATGCAAATGTATACATACCCAATAATATTACCCAAATGTATAACCCAATAATATTTAATGCAATATATACATACCCAATAATAATTAAACAGAAAAAATAAATATATTCAATAAAAAATCTTTGTTTTAACGAATGTACAATGTCGTGGCTTGGTAAATACATCAACACTGAAATGAATATCAGTCTGGCATAGGGAAAATCGGGGAATTACACAGCAAAATGGCGAATTGTGTAGCGGCGTTATTGTGAATCGGTGTAAACCGAGGGCTACCTGTATTTAAAATACAGTGTGTTTTTCTTTCACATTACTCATATCTCCTCATCTAAGATTATTCTTAACTAGTATGCCTATTTATTTATATATAAAAATTTTTCTGGAAGTTTTGGATTTTAATTAAACATCAACTTGTAAAAATTGTAGATAAATTTAAGTTATTTATTTGGTATTTTTTTTTTGTCTGCTATAAAATATCAAAGTTTATTTTATTTTTCTCTATATTATTTGTATATTTTTAAATTGGTCTTTTTAAGTCTAATGTTAATAAATTAATTTTATATTGTATATTCTAATTAATTATGCAGCAGTGTTCTATTTATTTTAGTATACAGAAGTTAATCTTAAATAGATGCAGTTTGTTCATGAAAATAGTAAGCAATAAAAATTGGCATGATCATACATATAGATTACGAAATTTTATTGCAGTGGTACCTCATTTCTTGAATTGCTCCCAACTCAAACAATTCAGTACTTGACCATTTGCTTGTTACTCCACGAAACAAACATGATCTGCTAGAACAAATTTTCAATTAAAAACAAATATTTTAACTTTAATTTTGTAATCAATAAAAATAGTTACTCAGTTTTACCATAGAAAATAATTTTAAAATAAAATGAAACTCTAGAGTTACCTTAATGACTTTAAACCTTAAATTCAGGCAAAATTATACTTGACAACTGGGTTGCATATGCAAAAACTGGTTCATGTTTTGTAACCATTCCAAGCCAATGAAATGTTTTAATAATCTCTTCCTGCAATTTTTCCTAGACAACTTTTGGTTACACCATATAGTGTGTATTTTTTCAGTTTAAAAATTGTGTTCAAGAAATTTTAATCAGTCATCAAAAATCCGCCAACTCCCAACTCGTATATAAAATAGAAAAGTATTGGAATCGTGTCAAATTTGACCCTCAAAGCTTTTGAAAATTTATATGTTTGGAGACCTCCTGAACTCAAAAAATGTCAAATAAAGGGGGACATTTGTGAATGTGTGTGTGTTGGCATCTATTTAATTTTATTTCTTTATTCTCCGTTCTGAGATATTGTTTAATATCTCAGAACAGCAAATGCGTAAAGTTTAAGAAACAAAATTTTGCATGATAGCTTGTGCATAAAGGGGGCATTAATGCTATTAAATTTTGGTTCTTAATTCAAGGTTGACAGAAGGAGTCATGTGTCATATCTCCAGTGTGGTTAGACTTATGAATATTTTACTCATTATTAGTGTGCACAATTTTTTATAAAACTCGTCTCTGCTCTCAAAATTAAGTGTTTTGTCATTTTATAATAGTACGGTAAAATCCATTAGGAGAAAAAACTTCTCGGGTGAGAACATCTTAAGTCATTCAAATTCTGCAATATTGTCATTTTGCCCATAAAAAATTTCATCGAAAGATGTCACTGGCCCAGGTGAAAAATTTACATGGGCCTCAGGAATGATAGAATGTAGAAACTTTCACTTTTTTCAATTTATTGAAACAATTATTCTGAGGTCACGTGATGACATCTGAATTCCTGGGCCTATTTTGTTAACAAGTCTACCTCTGGTCAGAGTCAGATGGTAAAACAAAGTTGGAGTTTTTGGTAGATTTTTACCCAACTCCACAGTCCTGATCACATTTGAAATGTTCAAAGTTTAGGAGCATCTTCCTCATGCACATTATGAATTTTTTTTTTATTGTTTACATGGTATTATATCCTTTTTGAAACTCAAAAAGCATAATATGCCAGATATGCATTTCATCTGAAGACATTTCCACTTTTTATTTCACATTTTATTTGAGAAATATCAAGTTTGTATTCTTTGTTTAGAACCTTATTTTAAATTAATTAATCTCGCATTAACAATAATATGTTAAGTAATGACAGCTGTTAAAAATTCATAAAAACTTTTTTTTCAACCCAATAAAATTAATAATGTATTTTGTTACTTTGTATTGGGAATGGTTATTCCCAGATGAAACAAAGGAATATGTTAGTCTTCCCATAACTGTTGCTCACTGCAAAACCCTGCTATAAACTTTCTCATTTCTTTGCATTTTTGTTTTTTTAATGATTTAATCGTGCTAGACTTGTCATCTTATTGTTTTATAGTGTATTTTTGGGGGGTTGGAATGGATTAATGTAATTTTATATTATTCCTTATGGAAAAAATTCATTAGATACTCAAATTAGCTTTAAGATATTTTAAATAATTCTTGTTATAGAAAATATAACATGACTAACCATAATTTCTAATCATTAATAATTATAAAAATTATTAAAATCCAGATACGTATACCGTCATGGCGGCTCATCTCTGATTCCAGCAAACAGTGGGGACGCACGTTCTAACCTAACCTAACCTATTCTAATAATTTGGTTGGTAATAATTATGGTAATTTATTAGAATAGGTTAGGTTAAGTTAGAACGTGCGTCCTCACTGTTTCCTTTCTTTTGTTTGCTGGAATCAGAGATGAACCGCCATGACAGTACACGCATCTGGACTTTAACCGAAATTATAAAAGTTTACATGAATAAATATTAATTAATTAATAAAAGATACTTTATTTTATTCAAAAACAAACAAACATTGCCAAGAAAATCATGAAAGTAAATCTTAAATAAAATGTATCATTTTTAGTGCATCACTGTTTTAATAGAAAAAACATAATAATTAATATACATGACACTTGCATAAATTTATGTAGGTCGAAAAAAGAAAATAGCAACAGTCATTCCAGAAGAACACATTTCAAGCAAAAAGCTCTTAAAGCTCGTTCATGCCAGCAAATGTAATCATTAAATTTAATCCCAGAGGAGAAAACATTTAAAGAATAAAATATTTTAAAGGCATTTATTTGCAAACTACAAGTTACAAATTTCATTTAATACCAAACAGTATTAATGAATTTTCTTCTTATTAAGTATTTTGTACTTAAGATATAGTGTGATTTTATAGGTGCCATAAGTATAATTTAGATATGGATTTTCCTAATGACAAATTTTGTTATAATATCAGTTTAATGATAGGTGCAAATACCAAGATTTGATCATGTACTGTACATTCCAATAATAATATTTTTTTAGATATGTACAAATTTTGAATTTTATATTTTATAAAAAGAATAATTTTGTTAGTTTTTTTATATTATTTGTAAAAATTCAAATAATTTAAAATTTTCAATAATCAAGAGTTTTTAACATTGGCTTTGTATCAAAAATTGTTAATGTTAAAAGAACAAATTAATTATATACTGTATATATGCAAGTTTCAAATCAAATTATTAAGATTCAGAATATTGTTATCTATATTTGAACAATAATTGTTAAGTAATTAATTTTCTAACCAATTTCTAGTACAAATTAATGTGTTATAATTTGAATTTCAGATAGTTCTATACATATAGTGTTAAATATTTTTATAATCAAAAATAAGAGAGATACATTAATAATAAACTATAAAGAGAGGTAAATTCAAAGTATAATAAAAATTATAAATATGAACAAAAAGCCATTAAGAATAATTGAAATTTTTAACTTTCAAGGTTAAATCAGTTTATTTTAAAATTTTGATTAACATTTGTTTTTAAGATACTTCATTTTGCCTGTAATTAATATTCACAATACAGTAGAGCCTCGATTATCTGACTCAGTTGGGGACTCGGGTTGGTCGGATAACCGAAAAGTATGAAAAAATCCATTATTATGTAGTATATTATTATATCCCATGTAATTAGTATATCGCTATTAATCTACTTCATGTTGAATTTTCATCGATGTTAAGCCTAACAAAAATTTTTAAAAATAATAATCGTCGCTATTGTATCGTTAAAAATTAGAAAATTAAGCCTCATTTAAATACTGGCTCCCTTTCATGGTTGATTCAGTGTTGCCAGCTAAAACACGTAAAAATAATATTAAAGTAGCCAAGACATAGCCAAATATTGTAGCGCCACATTACTAGCAGACATTTGAATTTGCTGACTAGGATGGTTGGTTAATTGGGGATCGGATAATTGAGGTTCTACTGAACATTATTTTTTTTTAAAAACTAACAATATGCTATTTTGTGCATATTTATAAAAGAATTTTATGACTGCAGGTTTAGATAAGAAATTGCAGAATATAGAATTAATAAAAATCTAAAAACTTCCTTAATTTCATAAATGATATAAATGTTATCAGTGTGATTTTAAGATTTTTAATTAATATACAGAATAGGTTAAAATTTTGTTCTTTATAAAATCTTTTGTGCCAAAACCATTGTTTCCTTTAGTTATGCTTTCTGTGGTTGTTAAATAAATTGAAACACGTGCAATATTTTGCATTAAGCAACATTAAACAATTGTAATTAATTATATTTCGAAATGTCATGTTCTCTATGGGTGCCTTCAAATAATGTCAAACATTGTATTAATTATGCTGCAATAAAAATGTAATATTTTGAATTTTTGAGTCTTTATATTTAAAACTAACACAATTTGCATGGACTAATTTTAATGTATAAATTTTTTTTATTTCATGACACATACATATTTTAAAATAAAACTCTGTTTTTATAGGCATTTGGATAGCAAAGAAAAGAAAAAAGAAAAGAAGAAAGGACTTTTTTAATTCCATTCATCAGTTTCTGTTGCTGTCCTGATGTGTCTTCATTCATTCACCATATTTCCACTTTGGTTGGAGAGGTGTGCGTGCGTGTGTGTATTTAATGAACAGAGAATGTCATTCCTTTACATCGATGTTTGACAATAATGTTTTATTTCATTCCTTTTCATCGTTGTGTCATTTGTCTGCATCTATCATTTATTTTATTAGCATCTTTTTTTTCTGACCAATCTACTTTTTCCCCATGATTGTTGCCCCAGGACAGCATCAGACGTCATCTCTTAAAAAATTAGTCTTAACCTCTGGAAATCGCAACAAACGAGCGTACAGTTTACAAATATTTTCCCTTTGTGTGTGTTTTGTGTTCAAAAGCAAGTCATTTGATCTAAAGTGACATCAACTATTTGTAACCTCAATTGAAGGGACTTTGTGCCATATTTTCCACCAAGTAGTTTTTGTTGTTGACTGTAAAAAAATAAAAATTGTCAGGAATTCACAATAGAGAACTTTTCAGACATTGTCATTTGCTTATTCTATCAATTGCACAAGAGCCATTCGCCATCCATTGTTTATGAATTTTTATAAAAGATTGTTTTTTCCATATTGTTGTAACTTCTAAGAATTAAACCAAATTAAAAACAGAATATATACATTTTTTTATTACTCTTCTCAAATACATTTTGAAAATTCAGTTTTTTTATACTTAAGTTTATTGGGACACGCTTTTTGCAATCTTGTACAATAAAAAAAATTTCCATTTACTTACTGAGACAATTGGAATGTGCTCAAGTGTGAAGCATTTATACTTGTATAAGTTGTCTGTTTATATATACATATAAATATATATATATAAATATACATATTAAAGAATAGTTGTCTGGTGTTCAACAAATAGTGTGAAAATATTATTTCATGCTTATTTGATGCATTTTTTACTGTTCTTATGTAAAATATTGCTATAGTCATCTTTTGTACTTTTTTTGCAGACATTTAGTAGGTAATAAAAATTGCCATTGATACTATCTGCTTTGCATTAGTATTTTGTTTTGTACTTTTTATCATTATTAAATGTTTATGAAATAATTGCTGTGATAATTATTGAAAATAAAACTTTTTATAAAATTTCTATACTCTAAACATACATACAACTTAATGTTTTATATATGTACTGTACAATATATAGAATTTAATACAGGCTTGCCATAAAATAACAGTTAAAAATTGACCAACTATTCCATTAAACAGCATTAATGCATGGATTCATTTCTTTATTTGATAAATATTTTTTGAATTACCATTAGTAATTCAAAAAAATTACCATTACCAATGTATCTATGAAAACAACACAATTTTGTAATTTAAACTGGAGTTGATGTATATAAAACAGATTAGTTTTCAAAATATTTTTCTATTTCAACATTAATATTAATGTAAAAACAATGAAGTTTAATTTTTCCCCCTCCTCTTTATTCAATTTAAATTTAGCAACTGTAGTAAAATGTGATTATTTTATATCTAATGTATTGAATATCAAAATATGAATGTAAAACACTAATTTATGCATTTAATATATATTTTCAGAATGAGATACTTAAGTTCTTCAAAAGATAATATTGCTGAATGATTTACAATGGGACTATTATATGGCATTATGAAAAATTGTATGTTTAGTTTATTAATCTTTCTCAGTAGTTTAGCAAGCAGTTATTAGTGTTCAGTTTTTTTTTAATAATTGCTATTATGATAGCAATATATAAGCATGGGATAGCAAAAGTATAGTGAATATACTAGTTATATGACAGATGTAGTAAAATTCAATATAATTATAATTTGAGAAAAATTATATTCTTCAACAGAGTATATGGAAAGAGTATTATTCCAGTTATTTTTAATGGTAGAAGTAAAAAAAATTAATTTAGTATTTTAGAAAAATGCTATTGTATTGAAATAGTTCATTGCTCAAATTAAATGCAAATAATGAATTTATTAAACAATAAAATCATTTAGAATTATTTCTTAATTAATCAGCGGCATTAATTAATTATATCAAACTTATTTTAGTTCAAAAAATATTAAAATATTGTAATACCTAACTTATAAAGTAACTTCAACGATTTGAACGATTGAAAATAAGTTTCTACTAAATATATCTTTAGTTTTTAAAAATGAATATTGAAAAACTTATATATACTTTTGATATTTAAAAATGACTAACTACATTTACACATTCCTTACACACCTTAGTAATATACATTTTAAATATACGCTTCGTTGTAGAATTTTGGATAATTTTATTCTTATCGATACTAAATGTTTATTTCAGGAAACCAAATTATTAATTTTTTATAAACGAATATAGATTTGTAATTGGAATCATTAATTAATTAAATTACAAATATCAAAATGAACTAATTATAGACGGGATATATTATTTTGAACTTAAACTGTAAAATTTAAATTGTCTTAATTGAAATGAATTTAATAGTTTCAAGAGTGAATATCGTATCAGAGTATTAATTCATTTTGTACAATTATTTATGCGCATTTTACTTATCCTTTTTACAAAAAAGATAGACAAGATAGAAAACTAGCACTTTCTAAAAGCGAATAAGAGAAGTCGAATCCATAGTAATACAATGCCAAGTCATTTCGTACCTAGAAGAATTTTTAAATTACTGAACGTTTCTATAGCTCTTTACTCAAACAATTTTTACTAGTATGCTTATAAACTTATTATTTCGTGTAAAGTTTTCGGGAAGTACAAAATTGAAGTTGCTGTTAACTAATTATGACGTCTATTGAATTACGTTCGATGTGTTAACGTTTACCATTAGAATCTTCGAAAATTTCCCTTCGTAAAGTCAAATGGTAAGAAAAATAATATTTTACGAAAATATGTTTATATTCACTGGCAAAATTATCAAGAAACTTGTGGATTAAAATGCGCTTCCGCTTCGCAGCTCTAGAAGTTTTCATTTAGTTACAGTACACACTAATTTTGCTAAACCTATCGCATTTTGTTATGATGTAATGCACAGTAGTGTATATTTACAACCGAAAATACAGGTGTGTGTAATGTTTTGAGTTTTGGAAATACTGGGATTTTGAGACAAAGTAGATGCCGTTTTTGTTTAGTAATTAACTGTCAAGTATCATTTCCTCTCGGTAAAACATCATGAAAGAATCTCTAACAAATAATTCAAAAATATTCATTTATTTTCTGGCTTATAAAACAGATAGCATATGAAAAACTAAATACAGGTATACCTCGCCTTACGTCGGTAATTGGTTCCAGGAAAACGACTTAAGTCGAAAAACGACGTAAGTCGAATTTACTTGTTTCCGAATCTACTTGTCACTAGGCTAAACCACAAATTACCAATTCCGGTTCTGTATTTTATTTATTAACTCATCTTTAATAATATATGGTTAATAAGGATCTATTTTAAGCTTACGAACAAATAAAT